TCTGGAAGGGGAACATCACACACCGGGGCCTATCATGGGGAGGGGGGGAGGGATTGCATTGGGAGTTATACCTGATGTAAATGACGAGTTGATGGGTGCAGCACAGCAACATGACACAAGTATACATATGTAACAAACCTGCACGTTATGCACATGTACCCTAGAACTTAAAGTATAATAATAATAAAAAAAAAGGATAAGAAAGAAAATGAGGCTCTATTAAATTTAATATGTCATCTCTCAGTTTTCTTTATTTAAAGGGCAACAGAATATGACTGTTTTCAATACAAAATATTGAAAGTAGAACTTAAAACAACTTTCATAAATAAGGAATTTTCTCAGGTGCTCCATGGATGACTCTGAAGAGTACAGGAATATCATGCGACACGACCGAGAAGATGTGTTGATCAGCAGTTGGTGCAAAAGTTTCTTTCTTGCCGCCCCAACTTACCTGTGTTATTAAGCCTCATAGCTAAACTATATTAGAGGGCTGGCAAATATTTGTTCCTCTCTATACAAAATTCTTAGCTTAGATTGTTGGCTCACGATATTTTAACCAAAAGAAATATCTCGCTTTAAATCAATTGTCCCAGGTCTCAGTTTAAAATTGGTGATGTACTGAGAACATTTCTTAGGGACAAAACTCCACTACATCTGCCTACCAGGTGGCAGAAATGTAAGTACACAGAGTAAATTTTATATCAGAAAGGCAGATAATTCTGACACAGGCAGACAAAGAGAAAAGCTGCCAAAATAGAGCAGGGAAGAAAAATACCTTAAGAGTGTTCCCCTTTTTACTGTTCCCTAGACGTGTCTCACCCCCGTCCCAAATTCTTAAAAGTCACCCTACAATTCAGGACTCCAAGCTCAGACTTCTCGTGTTCTTGTTGTGGCTTCTGACCTTTCAGCTGCCCCACTGATAACCTAGCATAAGATAGATTAACTAACCATATGCTGAAAGGTTCAACCATCCCTTAGGGGATATCAAACTACATGGAGAACTCTATGTCCTGGCAGGGGAAACACAGTCTAACCCAATTTTCTTACCACTGCATGCATTTCACGGGCCTGGGAAAAATGGATCTTCTTACTTGTTTTACCAAACTCCATCAAAACAAGACTAGATGTCGCCCAAACAACTAATCAGAGCCTGGATTTTATTGTGGCTCGAGGGGAAAGCAGAAAGATCATTGACATTTTCTTGGCTCTAAAGCTACCTTAGGGGAACCTTGCAACCCAGACATTCCTCAAGGGATACCAAGTATCACTGTACTTGATGTGGAAAAGCATATTAACTCAAGAACCCAGATATTCTTATTCTTGTTTTGGAAAATTGATTGACAAATATGAAGACAGTCATATTTGACATAAATATCATGCTACACTTGTTCTTAGCGCCTTCTTAAAGTTTAGTACAAAATATTGAGCTAATTCTCAAAGCCTCCTTTCTGATGCCAGAAAATATTTATGCAAGAATTCTATGCGTTATCATCAGCAGAGTGCCACTGCTCAATCTGAAGTCATTGCCTGCTGGAATAAACTCTCTTCCAAAGCCAGAAATCTGTCTTCCAACAAAACAAACATCCAACACCAGAATGGCAAAGAACCACAGTCCTTTTCTCAAAGCCTCTTGGTCAAGGTGGGAAATATTTTAGTGATTATTACAAACACAAGTGGCATTACCAGTTTCAATCACTTCTTTACTTTTCATCTCTATTGCCCTTTCTTTGGTTCAAGCTACCATCCTGTCTTCCCTACAGTACTGCAACAGCCTTTTTGTTTTTGTCTTGTTTTTGTTTTGGTAAAGGTTGTTGGGGTGTGATTTACATATCATAAAGTTTACCCCCTCTATGTGTACATTTCAATGATTTTTAGTAAATTCACTGACTTGTACAACCATCACCTTAATCCAGTTTTAGAACATTTGCACACCTTCAAAGAGATTTCTCATGTCCATTTACAGTTAATCTCCATTCCTCCCTTCCTCAGGCTGCAGGCAGTCACTAATCTACTTTCTGTCTCTCTAGATTTGCCTTTTTGGATATTTCATATAAATGGAATCATATAATATGTGACCTTTTGTGACTGGCTTTTTTTCACGTAACATGTTTTCAAGGTTCATCCATGTTACAGCATGAATCAGTACTTCATTCCTCTTTATGCCTGAATAATACTCCATTGTATGGATGGACCACATTTTATTTATCAATTTACCCACTGATAGACATTTGGGGTCGTTTTCATTTTTTGGCTATTATGACTAATGTTGGTGTGAACACACACATACAAATCTTTTCTATGTTTCACTTTAGGATTAGAATTGCTGGGTCATGTAGATTTATGTGTCACAGTCTCTGAACTCTTCTACTTGTCTCACATCTGGGCCCACTTCAAGACCTTCTCCTTACTATGGCTAGAATGGTCTTTTTTTCTTGTTGAAATGTCTTTATTCCTAAGGTATGATCTTTCATACTTCTTTTTAAAAAATTATTGTAATGGCCACATAATAATTATACATATGTATGGGGGTACAGAGTGATATTTTGATGCATGTGACTGTCCTGATTTTTTCATTACACATTGTAAAATGATCTTTTGAAACTGAAAATTCACATGTCATTTTGCCTGGTTAAAAATGCTCCGGGGGCTTCCCATTGTCCTCGAGTTAAAATCAAAACTTTGCAACACTGTTTGTGGGGCCTTGTACGATCTGTTTTCATTCTGCAGCCTCTAATCTTATTCCTCCACTTCACCTGGCTCCTCAATCTTCTCTGTATCAATCAGACTAAATTCTAGTTTTCGGTACAGACTGTGCTCCTTTAAGGCCTTATCTTGGGCTGTTCCCTCTATCTAGAAATCTCCTTCCCTTTAGGGTAGTGGTTAAAAGGGCAGCTCTGGAGTCAGACACCTGAATTCACCAATGAAAAGCCATATGACTTTGGGCAAGTCATGTCTCTGTATGTCAAATTCCCCATCTTTAAATCGAGGATTAATAACAGATCTTGACTCATAGGATCCTTGGAAGGATGAAATGTGTTACAATGTGCAAAGCATTTTAAACAGTCCTCAATAAAAGTTAGTGATGGCCAATGAATTCTTCTTTTTTTTTTGGCTTAGATTTAACTTTCTTCTAGAAACCTTCACTGACCTCTTAAGTATGGGCTAGCTCCTTTCAGTGTTTCCATAATACTCTGTTCTTGTTGTGTTGTGTCATATTGTTATTGCCAGTTTACTTATCCGTCTTCTCCTGGTAGTCTCTGAGTTTTGTAAGGCAAACCAGAGTACTTCCATCTTCAGCATCTAACAGAGAGCATGGCTCACAATAAATGCTCATTAAAATATTTGCTAAATTGAGAAAAACTGTATTAGATAGTCTCTGTGTTCCATTCATTCCCACCCACCTTTGCCCAATTGTCTCTCTCAGAGAGACCTACATGAAATGTATCATCTAGACTACATACCAGCTGTGGTAAATAGTTAGGTTGGGTTTGGCCAAGAGGAAGCTCTGGCAAGAGATAGATGAGTGGGTTGAGGAAGAGGTCATGGTAATTTCCTTTCCACTTCCTCCCTGCTGTGGTTCTGCCGGTGACTGCATTCTGCTACAGCTATGGCTCCTGTTAAGACATCCCACTTTCAGAGCTCTAGCTCTTTCTGGTGCCATTACAGACATTCCCTCCTCTTGCCCACTCAGACCTAGGAGTGGCAGCTGCAGCTTCCCGTTATTGCTAATCCCATGGTGTTCTACCATTCCTCATCAGTCTTTAGCCCTGCCCAATCATCTGTAAAAAGTTCACTATTCTCTCTCCATGTAAACTCATTTGAGTGTGCCATCTGCTTTGTTTTGAGACCCTGAATAATAACAATGACTGGGCATAGCCATTCCTGCTAGGGGTTTCAGGTGGCAGAGAGTGGGGGAACTCTTTGTGTGTTTTGTTGGAGAGATAGTGGTGGGGTAGAATATGATTTCACTATTAAATAGCCTGCAATGTTTACAGTTCTTATTTTTATGTGTATATACGTCACTTGCCATATGCCAGGATGTGTTATTGCCAATAGTTTCCATATGGATAGTTCGTAAAGCATTTTACTGTTGGATCATTCTTTCCGGTGCACTCTGTAGTGAAGACTTGGTAGCAGTGCTTGACTTGATTGATAGAAAATCATAGTCCACCAAGTGCTAAGTCTCTTCAAGTATCACAATTCTTTCCAGTTCCAGCTGATGGTATATTTCTTAGGCTATTATTTCTAGTTCTATTTGAGAAACAATGCTGGATATGTGAGCCCATAATTTTCATTACAGGAATAGGTTTCAGACAGCTGAGCATCAGACTCTGAAACCAGGAAAGACATATAGGTTCAAAGACCACCTCCTGGATATCTATGTCTCTTGTGTTAGTCTGTTGACATTTATCAAGCACACACTCCTTACAGAGCCTGATCCTATTTGCTTAGTTTCTAAGAGACAGGAGGGTTGAACTGACCCTTCAGGTATTTTATGATATAACTATTGCTTTGTGTCAAATAGGTGGTCTGCTTGCATATGAACTTGGAGTTATAAACAGCACACACAAGGCCTTGGCATTATTATCCAGTTTGCATAATTTAAAATGATTCTTTGATTAGTAAAGCTCAGATTTCAAGAGTTCTAACTAGATTACTTTGTAGCCATTAAAATTTGTCTGGAGCTAAATGTGAGAGGCTATACTGAGGAATTGATGGTTTTTTAAAAGTACATATTCTAAAATTATGGTTATATTTGTGTCCTATAGCTGTTGTAAGAAGTTACCACAAATTTAGTGGCTTAAACAATGCAAATTTATTATTTTATAACTATGGAGGTCACAAGTTCAAATGGATGTCACTGGGCTAAAATCAATATGTCAGCAGGGCTGTGCACTTTCAGGAAGTACTAGGGGATAATCAGTTTCCTCAGTTCTTCCAGCTGCTTGGGGCTGCCCACATTCCTTGACTCATGGCCCCTTCTTCCATCTTCAAAGCCAGCAATGCTGGTTGAGTCTTTCTCACACTGCGTCACTTTGACACTGCTTCCATCCTCATACTGCTGCCTCTGACTATCTTGTCTCCCTCTTTCACTTACAAGGACGCTTTTAATTATACCGTGCCCACCTGGATAATCCAGGATAATTTCCCCATCTCAAAATCCTTAACTAAATCACATCTTCAAATTCCTTTTTGCCATGTAAAGTAACATAATCATAAGCTCCAGAGATCAGGATGGGAGGCCTTTATTTGGGCCTACTCCAATCTTTGGGGGCCATTATTTTACCTACCACACCTATTAAATAATTATTTAAAAATTTAAAACCCTTTATCTTTGCTGTTATAAATAATTAAAAATGATGGAAATAAAAACTAAAAACTAAAAAGCATTCTATGGGTGTTTTCAGTTTTCTCCTGAGGCCATAAAAAAACTGAGAAACATTCTGTTACCTTCATGTCTTTACATGGAAATAAACACAAACACTTTAAAGGACTTAAATTTTTTGAATTTAAAATGGCTAATACAGGTAAAATTACTGAAGTAGAGAATGTGCTCAAAAATAGTCCTCTATTCATTGCATACCATTTTGTAATACATATTATTTTCCCTAAGTTAAGAAAAAGGAATATTTCAGTAGTAATGATTATAATTGTTTAGGTTTCAGATGTTATTTTGTGATTTGGAAAGCTCTATGAAATAATTTCATAGTTCATATCATCTCATCTTCAAAATTAATAAAGAAGAAACACATTTTTTAGCCTATGTATATTTTTTACTTAAGCAGCTTTGGGTTTGGCTCTTTACAAGATAGGAACTAGAAAAATTTTTGGTTTCTGTGGTGGAAGCTAGGAATTCTCCCCCTAATTCACAAGCCAACTATGATGTATGATTCTTCATTTCAGCAACTGAGAAGATAATTGCAAAGTTTGAAGACGGCCAGGTTGTACTTCTTAGCACCATACAGTGTCATCGCCATGCCACTGTACCGAGGACAATGAAGTAAATGGCCAGCCAACAAAACGTACAGTAATCAAAAAGATAACTACCTGCCAGGTCAAGGAACAGGGGTGACGCAGACAGATAAGGCACCTGCTTTTGTGGTACTTACATTCTAATGGCGAATGAGAGAGAAATAATACACCAATAGGAAGGTGAGCCAATATACAAACAATGTAAATCCAGAGAATGGGAAATGTTATGGTGATAGTGATATGCTAGGTTGTGTCTGTGCCAGAGGGGAGGCTACTGTAAGGGAAAATGTCTCTGGGGAGGGGACATTTGAGCTGTCATTTGATGATAAACAGCACAACCTGTAAGTCCTTAAAAACCCAAATCCCTGATCTCCAAAATGGAGTATGTGCACTACCAAAGGCAAGCAAAAGAATCTATTGGAGTTTCGGGAAAAAAGATGAGAACTTCTGTTTGTATTTATTTTTATTTAGAAAACAAGAAAGAAATTAAACTTTGCTAACATAGGGAAGGAAAAAATTTCCATCACTAGGTTTGTGGCCAGTTTTCTATAACAAAAATTAGATTATTAACAAGAAAAAAAAACATAGAAATTTATTGAATATAAGTTTTATTTAACACAGGGGCCTTCAGAAATGAAGGTTCAGAATAGGTAAACTTGCATATTTGTATACTTAAGATTGATAAAGAATGGACAGTCACGGAGAAATATGATTGGAGGACGAAAGGATATGATCTAATAGGAATAAACTGGGGGGAATTTAGCAAGACTTGTTTGTTCAGATTTTTCTCTGCATCCCTGTGTCTTCAGATAAAAGGATGTTCCTTTCCTTCAGGTATAGTTCCTTTCCTACAGGGAGGAAACCTCTCACACTAGGGTCTTACAACTTGCTTCACGGGAGAACTGTGAAGGGAAGATGAGAGTGTCCTCCCTGTTTCTGCTGTTTTTCCAAATTTCAAGGTGCCATATTTTGGGGTAGTGTGTCCTGAACCCCATCACTAATATTTACATTTTTATATTGAAACCCTATATGTGGCCCATGTATCAGATAGTCACCCCTACTGTGGAGTATTGCAATGTATTGCATTGTTATATTATCTAATTTTAACTTGAATAACCCTCACATAATGGACCAATGGCTTTGAAAGTTTTCTACAAGGAAGCCACAGGTTGAGGAAGTACTACTATTGCAATCTTAATTCAGTGATAAGAAAATGTCAGAAGCAACTCTTTTCCTACTCCAAGTAGGCCATCATCAGCCACATTATGACTCTTTATTCAGAGTCAAAGATAACTCAGTCACAAATATTTAGTATTATCAAGAAATTAATATACAGCATGTATTAGCAATTACTTCCATTCTATACAAACTGTACCCTAAGAGGGAATTGTGCCTTCCCACAGGATGATGCTATCATGGTGAGCATCACGTTTCAAAATATTATCTATTTATGTCATCTTTATTCCATTATGTATGTTTTATAAGACACAACATGTATCGGTTTCTGGTTCATGTATGTAATTTATAAATATATATATATATTTAGAATACATGTGCATTTATTGTTACTTCTACACATGCATAATCAAATATACTTTTCAATCGTTGCTCTAAACTATTTGATAGCTACGGCCCTTGTCAAAGACTCTCAGCAACTATATATAGGGCAACCCATCTCTGAATTCTGAAACTGATTTTCAAAGATGGTATGAAGTTTTCAGCATAATTAAGGTGCCAAGAATCACATAATCCAACAGAATCTAGGTGAAGTGGCAATTTCCTGGTGCTTTGGAAGGTACATTCTAATTCCAACTAGAAGCTTCAAGGCATCTGTGCTAATCCCTAAGGCAATGCTGTAATTTCTGTGTCTTTAGTTCATATATATGGTGAGGGTCAAGATTTCTCTGCATATTTATCCCCCAGAAATAGAGTTCCATGAATCTATACAGGTCCCATCATCAGCAAATTTTGTATGAGCATGTGTGTATGTGTGCCTACACGCAGGCACAAACATATACCAAAGTGACACCAACCAGTCTTCCCTTGGGCTCCTTGTGATTTCATCACCTTTGAGGTATTTTGATATTTGTCCTATTTTAACATGGATAAACTATTTTATATAAAAGTGGTTGTTAACTTTCTTTGGTCTGTAGCCAAGAAAATCTAGAATGCTGACTATGAATATATTTATAATTAATAGTTAAATGTATTTTAAAGTATGTGTGTGTATTTTACTCTAAGTGGTATTGATGAAATAATTTTCAATTTTGTTTGTCCTTAAGTATAGGCATTCAATGCAGCAAATTTTCAGATGCTTTCATGTTATCAATTGTCTGTGGTATATAGCAACTGGTAATATTTAAGGATTTCCTGGTGACTAGATTGGGATGCTTTTCTCTTTCACAGGAGAAAAGGGAGCTGCAAAGGTGCCTGAAGGTTTCCATGTCCTATATCTCACATTTATCAAAGTAATAACTGTCCTATGAAAGGATTTTTCTCCTGTTCACTCTTTCTGCTCCCTTTGTCCCCTCTTCAGCTAGGCACACACATCCACTTCTAAGAACACAGACTAACTCATCCCAGAAACACAAGCAGGGTAGAGTTACTGAAGTCTCAGCCAATCATCAGCATTTTCAGAGATTTGGTTCATTTCATTCCCATTGTTCATCTACATCTATACCATGCCATTCTTTGAAGTGTAATGCCACATAAAGAATTTTAATAAAAGTATTTTGTATAGGCAAATATATCTGTGCTCAGATAATGGTGTCCTATCTTTCTGAGGAGACAGATAAATTTATGGGAGTGTTCTAAGGAAGTCGCTGCTTCAGGCATTTATCTGTGTTGGTGTTGGTGTTGGTGTTGGTAATGGTGTGTGCGCGTGTGTGTGTGTGTGTGTGTGTGTGTGCATGCATGTTGGCAGAGGTTGAAGGAATAGGCTTTCATAGAAAACCATCTTTCCCATACTGTGGGAAAGAAGACAGGTTGGAAACCACTTAAATTACTAATCAAATACTACCTGATGGTCCATACCAGGTACATGAAACTTATGAAAGTGGCTTGAATGATCCAAGAAAACTGTATATTTGGACCTGATTATTTGTTCCCTGGAAAATCTTTTCTATCCCTTTCTTATTTTTACCAAATGCCCTAAAGGTAGATTCTGGATGGAAGGTTCAGGGAATCTATGAGCTCCAAATCTATTTTAATAAAAACATTTCCAGTTCTGAGCAACTCGGGGATAAGTGACAAGCTAGCCCCTATCTGGGTGAGGCAGTGCAGAGAGGCACCTGGCAGATTTCATCAGCAGTGGGAAGGAAAGGGTGGGGATGAAGCCTCATGATCAGTTTGGTCTCTT